AACAATACTTAAACAAAACCCATACAAAAAGAATGACAATGATGATACTAGAATTTCAGTGTTTAGATTTTCTTATTGAATCAGATAGTTGCAACAGTGTAGGCAGGTAGTATCTTAAAGTGTCACACACCACAATTTGAAGAGAGATATCAAATTATTATTAACCAGAAAAATATTTATTACCCAAATGAAAGTCTTCTCATTAAAACATTTCCTGACTACACTAGATAGTTGTCAGCAGCAGTTTGTCTTACAAGAGAAAAACCGATGCAAGAAATTGATTACAGCCTTGCATCTCTTGTGGTGTGAGAACATTTTCCATGGATAAGTGCCCCTACTAGTTATGTGTACAAGCAGTGCAAAATGCACTTATAATTTTAACTTGTTAAACACCACTGTATAGTATTGGTTACTAGTGTGATGCAGCAGTCCTTTTGGATAGGCGCTGTGAGTACTAGTTCTGACTTTTTATTGTTTAGCAGGCTTCTTAGTACTGCTATAGTATGTGTAATAATATTGAATTCAAAAACCCATCCTTAATGGTGCATAGAATGATCAACATACTCTTGTGTGCCTAATAATAAACTCTACCAAGAAAGAGTACTAGTAGGTATTCATCTGATATGATGTATGAATTATACTAGTACTTAATAATACTCATATTAATATTCATATTTTTTGTATGGATTATAGTAGCAATTATAGGAGTACTAATGATTAGTACTTCTGTAATACAGTATGACCCACATAGTATACCAGTACTAGTACTAGTAGACACAGTGCAGTATGATGCCTCATGATGTAAAGTTAGGAAACAAGGTTTAATACYGTCCTTCTGTTGTCCAGAAATAGATGTACTGGTGGTGCTGCCCTATGCACCCCCTTCAGTAGGAGTGAAATGAGCCCAATAACAGATCTATTAGTAGTATAGTAGTAGATGTATTCAGTTATGAAGATTGCATCAAGTGAAAGCATCTGACATACTTGCAATAGCTATTCAAACAGGCCCATTTTGGCATATAAATGTGA